CTCTCTCTCTCTCTCTCTCTCTCTCTCTCTCTCTCTCTCTCTCTCTCTCTCTGCAGTTTCGGCTTTATTTCACCTGAGGTTTCACCGTGTGATGCCTTTCGTCACGGGGCTGCAGCCATCGTTCTTCTCCGCACATAGCATAGTTCTCCTGATCCCATTTTTCTCGAGCTTCCCGCTCCTCCTGCCGTTACTTTACATGACTTTCCACCCTACCCAATGTCACCATTCTCTAAGGGTGCTCTTCTCCGTTATCTCCCAACATGGCCCCCAGCTTTTCCCCCCTCCTCTTTCCCTTTTCTCCATGTCATCTGCCAATAGTGCCCCATTTTCCTTCTTCCCTCCCCCTCCTTCTCCTCCGCTACCTTTCAACAAGGACAAGACACACTTCTTCACCTTGCTCTGTCTATACTTTCAGGCATGATGCTCCTCCACTTTGAAACTGATGCTGCTTTCAATCTCTTAGCATGTCGAATAGGAACTTGAAAGTAAACTTAACCATGATATAGCTATGAAAGTAAATCCTCTAAGATGTTTTTGGCTGTGGTTTCACGAACCGATGTCCTTTGTTCTCATGCTAACAGACGAGTTAAGAAAGATGAATTCTCAGAGAGAAAGCGGAAAATCACCAGGCCAGCAAATCCACCAGAGAGAGAGAGAGAGAGAGAGAGAGAGAGAGAGAGAGAGAGAGAGAGAGAGAGAGAGAGAGATTTTTTCTTCTTCTTCTTTTCTTCTTCCTCCTCCATCATCATCCCTCGTCGCCTTCTTCTGACTCTTCTCCCCAACTGACGTCCCCTCCTGCAGCTCCCTACCCCCTCCACCTCCGCGCGGTTGCCACGTGGTCTATCCATCCCCCCCACACACAAAAAATCCCTCATGAAAAATAAAATTTTACGTTTGGGTTCGGTAAGTTTTGGCCCATGTTCGCGTTCGGTAGCTGACGTTCGGGTGTGGTCACCGAACCCGAACATGGTGCTACGCAGGACGGAACACTAATGACAAAGTCCCACAATGAGCAGAAAATCAAAGATTTTGTGCTAGCACACCCTAACAGCCACCTGTGACAATGAAGATATAGCCCAGAGGCTGAAGGAGAGTGATGTGGGCCACTGCGTCGGGCCGGTGGGCACTGCCTTCCGGGCGTTTTCAGATGCAGCTGCAGCCTACCGAACCCAGTTTGCTCAGTCCCAACCCTGACTTGGCCAGGTCCGGCCTTTTGAGAGACTGGCTCCGTCCTTCACCTTCGGGGCCTTTACTTCAGGGCCCACCAGCCCTTACTAAAGACTAGGATGCCCTTGCACTGGCACAGGGCCGAACAGCGCTTATCAATCACACCCGTGCCTCCCTCCCTCCGCTCCCGCCCCCACATCGATCCATTCATACATACATACATTCATGTCCTTTCATCGGTTCAATACCTGATTCATTCATACATGGCATCCATCCAGGGAAACCAAAAATCAACGCATCTGTTCAGCCTATACCTCCTATCCAGTCATTAAATGCATTATGTCCACCCTTTCCACCCATTGCGCCCACCATGCCACGGTTCTGCAAGACCTTGATTTATCAGTGAATGATAAGGAAACTTTCTATTACACTCCCCTCCCCCCAGATCCAGTCATTTGATGTATTATGTCCACCCTCTCTGCTCATTTTTTCATGCCAAACATTCCAGCAGTAATCATGCCCTTGGTCTAAAATTTCAAAATGACCTTAGCTGCGAGTGCCTACCACAGCCTACGTGCGAGGTGTGCACATTCCACGGGAGGAAACCGACTTGTAAAATAGTTAGGAAGAGGGGGTAGGAGGTAAAATTGAGGGTAGGATGATAGGGTAGGGGGAAGAATTGGAATGGAGGGTAGAAGGAAGAAAGGAGACAGGCAGCGAGGGTAGAAGGCTAGTAGGAGATACCGCAATAGAGGTAGAACAAAGGGAAGGGGGGGGGGGGGGGGTGGAGCAGCGGGAAGGATAGAAGACGGAGATGGAAAAACAAGACCGAAGTTCCAAAAACAAAAGATAAAACAAGGAAAAGCTGGGGTGGCATAGGCAAGCCTTGAATTGATTAGGGGATACTGGAGGGCAAGGGAAGTTGAAAGACGAAGAGGCAAAGAAGGGAGGAATAGCAAATACATAGGCAAGGAGGAGGAGGTATGGGGGACAAATGGAGATGGGACCTCGAGATGTGAAGTTGGTAGGGCGAAGGAATAGATAATAAAGGGAATGAAGGGACAAAGGTTATGAATGGCAATGGACAAGGCTTTGAGATACGGGTTTTGGGAGACAGGGTTCTGGGACAAGCACCCTGTGAGACTGCCAGAAACGGCCTCCCCCCAAGGCGCCCCGCCGTTCTTCTTGGGATTCTCCTGCTGCAGGACTGGGTGCTGCCAGTAAGCCTCCCGGCCACCAGGAGTATCCTTGAAAAAAGGCCATGGTTTGGGGGGTGGCAGGCTTCGGGCCAACCTCTCCCTTGTACAGGCGGCTAGTGCCGCACAGGGCAAGGCTGATCCTTTTTCTCAGCTTTCTCTCTCCTTTTTCACGCTTGCTGGTGATAAGCAACCGGACCGATGGTTTCCAGAACAGAGGGGGCTTAGGGTGTTCTGGGGGAAAAACAATAAATAAAGGAAAAGCAACAGTGAAGGGTAGGGAAACTTAAATCACCCCGTCTTATCAGAAAGACAAGAGGGGAAGAAAGAAACAGACAAGACTTGCCTGCCATGCAAGTTTGCTGAACCTCACACAGACTGCAGAGAGGACAGCAACATCCTTGGGATCGGCTATGAAGTCTTCAAAAATTTGCAAAATGATCGATTCTGGGAGTGACTCGAAGCCAGATACACCCATTTCCATCCGCTGAAAATGTCTGCATGATGGCAGATAACAGACAAAGATGGGCATCAGCAACTCCGGGGAAAAAAAAAAAAAAAAAAAAAACGAAAAAGAAAAGGCATCCTTACATCACCGTATCCTGATGACACGCCACATTGCTGAATGCATGTGTGCAGGTGTCTGTGGGTGTGTACCTCCAAAAAATGCCATCACTAACAAGGATCAACGTCCTTCAGGACAGCTGTTAAATTTGAACGCTACAGAGAAGATTGGAATGGCACCTGCACAAGGGTGCCACAATCAAATCGAGTAATGGTGCAAGATTTTTAAGATTGAAAAAGTTAAATAAACAACCATGTGCCGGACATCAGCAAAACCATTGCTGCATGCACAAGTGTGTCTGTGTGTGTGTGGCTGTGGACTACTGTGACCCCTTTCCCAAAAAAAAACGAAGGAAGAACCAGCAAAATGTCATCATTGTTAAAAGAAAAAACAGAGCACCGTCACTAACAAGTATCAAGGTCCTCTGGGGACATCTGTTAAAACAGGAATGATACAGAGAAGATTAGCACAGCCCTGCACAACGATGACATGCGCAAAACAAGAAATCGTCCAACGATCTTAAAGATAAGAGCATAACGCAAAAAGAAAAAGAGAACAGAAGTATTATCAACAACCGCGTACAGAACATCTGCATAACCACTCCTTGCCTGTGTCTTGCAGCCCGTCTGTGCATACACGCACATTTTCATGCACGTGCAATCTCACCACCACCAGATCGACACACAGAAGGAAAGGAGACGAGGGCCAAAAAAAAACTTTGGAGGGCAAAAGAAGCTGTTACTAACTAGCTGAAGGGCTCTTCACACATGCTATTTATAGCAAGGCAAGTGCTATTTATGCCAAGCCAGGTCAACCCGACAATGCCCCGTCATTATCGTGAAGAGCCAGCAAAGTGTGCGCATACTCACAGTCCTTCCGTGGATATACAGCCAGAGCAAGTCAACAACTTTGTAAAAACTGCTCGGTTCAGCGTTCCCTAAGACGAATCAGACAATTGAAAAAGATGAAAATGAGGAAAGGCAAGCGATGGAGTACTGCAGATGAGTCAAAATGATGATAAACTCATGGAGGCAAGCTGAGGTCGTAAGAGCAAGTGAGGAAAAGAAAAAAAATGCAAGCAAGACCAAGAGAGGTCAGCGGAACGAGCAACACGAGGAGTGGAAACCTGGGAGAGAGCTGATGCATACAAAATGAGGAAAGACAAGTGATGAAGTAAGTGATAAAGTCATGCGAGCATTCAAAGCCTTTACATGACACACTGCAGACACACTTGGAAATCACTCTTTTGCACGTGGTTTGCATGTGGATCACTTTTTTGCATGTGGTTTGCATGTGGTGGACTAACGCAGACAGGTCACGGTGTCCCGCACACAATACAACGACAAACATAGCATGAAAATAGGACAAGTTAATTCATGTCAATTCATGCTGAGATGCACAAATGTTAGGGACACAGAACAAGGATGATACCAATCGATAGGAACGGGATACAACTGTAACAAGTACTAATTAGTAATTATTGCATATTCCGATACTCGTTAATTTTGTCGTACATAGCGGACGAAAGAAAAATCGTGGAATTTGGCCCTAGAGACCCCCAATCTTTTCGGCCTGCAAGACTGCTCCTTTATGTTGTAAGTGATGATGATAGAACATCGAATATCACAATCTTGCTGAAGAAGAGCCCCAAAAAATGCGACTTTGTTTCTCCTGCGACATACGCGCAGTTAAATCCTCTGCAGGCCAGCCAGAGGAAAGTGGGCGAGGTGAGACACACTTGGGTTATGCTATCCGAAAGTGGGTTATCCAAGCCACATGCGTGCTTTTGGATAGCATAATAGATTTTGGATAGCCACGCGTATGCTATCTGAAAGCACACGTGGCTTTCGGACAGCATAGCCACATGTGTGCTTTCGATTAGCATAGCTTTTGGATAGCCGCATGTATGCAATCCGAGAGCACACATCTGGCGTTCTGATAGCATAGCCACATCTGAATATCATAGCTACTATCTGAGCAATGCGAGAACAGCCTTTGCGGCTATGCTGAAAGCAACAAGAGAACAGCTTTGCTTAAGGCTTATTTTCCATTGCAGATTGTCTATGGAAACAAAAGAACAGGTTCACGGCCCTCAGGTTACCTCCAGTCTGCGTAAGTTTGATACAGTCACTCAGCCATGGATGGAGGTGTTGGACGTGCTAGCAAAGCAACTCTTTCCCCATCCCCCTTGCCTCCGTCTGACGTCAGCCCTCCTCACTAGAAAAGGTACCTGAGATGTTAAACCACACACTACTTCCAAGGCCCTTTTCTCCGGGGCCGGGGCTGGAAACGGCCAGCGCGGGCGTCCTTTCGGATGGTGCTGCCAGCCATTTTGCTCTGGAGGCGGAGCCCGGAAAGTTGCGCCGGAATACAAGCTGCATATTTGATTCTTTGGCTGGGAGTTTCAACCAAAAGTACCAACCCACCCCTTTGCTCGCTCTTCCACCTCACCCCCTTCTACCCCATCCTTGCCGCCCCTCTTCACCCCCCCAACTCCAACTTTGCCCCAAATCCCTTCTGCCTCCCCCCTCTTCTCTGCCGATCTCACTCCCCCTAACTTTACCAAAAACGATTCAGAAATATAAACCGCAAGTTCCAAAGCCCAAAATTCACAGCTAAATCACCCATTATTCTCTCCGAATCTCCGGACTTCTCAACTATCAAGCACCGACGACTGCCTCAACTCCTTGACAAAAATTACTTAGGCAAGAGTTTGATGTCTCAGAGACACTGTGCATGGCTGATAGATGAAATAGAGAAGCGGACAGTTTTTATGAAAAAAAATGGAAGTACAGTGAAACAATGGAAAATACATGAACAAAGGAAATGTAACAGGCACATATCATTAGCTATAAAAGTGCCCTGAGCAACATAGGTTAGCCAATCTAACAGCTGAAAGGAAGGAACGAACGAACGAACGAAGAAAAGAAGGCAGGCAGGAAGGAAGGAAGAAGGAAGGAAGGAAGGAAGGAAGGAAGGAAGGAAGGGAAGGAACGAAGGAAGGAAGGAAGGAAGGGAAGAAGGAAAGAAGGAAGGAAGGAAGGAAGGAAGGAAGGAAGGAAGGAAGGCAGGAAGGCAGGAATGAATGAATGAAGGAAGGAAGGAAGGGAGGAAGGAAGGAAGGAAGAAAAGAAGGCAGGCAGGCAGACAGGAAAGAAAGAATGAAGTGCGGGTGAGCGATGGAGGAGCAAGAAGACGGGCAGAACATAGGGGAAGATGGAAGATGTATAGATCGAAGGCATTCTGCAGACAAACTGTAACCTTCTCTACATCAGTATTGACTTCCAAGTCCCAACTTATAATCTTTTTTGAAACAATTTGTACTGCGCGGGGAACAAGACGAAAACAAGTCTTACCAACTTGCCAAGAGATAATGAGGGCTACTACCCCTTTGCCCAGTAGAGGGGGGTTGGGGGGGGGGTTGCAAGCAAGACTATTACCCTCCTCATGCCTCAAAACTGTTCTGTTGCATTGATCTTTTTTTCCCGGTGATGAGCAACCGGACTGACGCCTCCCAGAATAGAAGGGGCACATGAGTGTGTGGGTTTTCAAAAAAGAAAAGAAAACACAGAACAGATCACAAAGAAGGGAGGAAAATTAACCGAAGATCAGACAGAATCCGAGCGTCCTCACACAAAGAGAGGAGCGCTTCTTTCACATTTCTAGTATTTTTTTTTACTGTTGACCTTTTGGTGTTTTCACCCCTTGCCCTTCTCCTCACTGATGAGAGGAAGGAGACTGAAATGGCTTTATGCTACTTGCTGGGTTGAACCACCCCTCATTTTCTGATGTGGGCACACAATCTTTCGTCCATCATTTCCACTATACATTCGTTCATTATATCACGATGACAGTACTGTAAAACAGATAAACAAAGTATGTAGGATAGACACAGCTGTGTATGTCTGTGTGTGTGCATAAGCCATCATTTCCCTACACATACACACAATGTCTCTGTGTACGTGCGTACCTGGCATCTCTCTCTCTCTCCCTCTCTCTCTCTCTCTCTCTCTCTCTCTCTCTCTCTCTCTCTCTCTC